GATTGTAAACTCTGTGATAAACCTTTAATGCATTCACTAGAACACTATATTGTTAAATGTGAAACGGTAAAAGATTTTAGACCTCCTGGCCTCTTGTACCACCAACTGTGTAACTATGTCATTGACTCAGGTGTTCTGGACGACTTCCTAACAATTTATCCAAAATTTGCTTGTCCATTTTAAAGAATGAAGAACAATTTTTATTTATATTACTTCTAAGCTGTATCACTTATGAACCCATCCCTGCCCTTGTGTGGCAGTGCACAATAGGAAGTTTTCACATATCCATACATTAAAACATTGATTGTAACCATGATATATATGTGCTTCCGTCTACAGTTTAGTCCTATTGTCTTGTGCATGACCCTCTGTCCTGCGTGACGGTGAATACCAGCATTATCCTCACTTTAAGGTGCCATAGGCACAATCAGAGAACACTGTATAAACATCAGAGGTCCACGGTTGTTCAACACCCTCCCAGCAAGCATAAGATATATTGCTGGAACAACCGTGGACATCTTCAAGAGGAAACTAGATTTATTCCTCCAATAGTTTTTTTTTTTATTATTATTATTTTCTACCACAGACGTAGCCACACATTTACAATGCTAACCAGCATATATACATTTTCTTCTGTCCTCCGTGGACAGGGTTAGAGAAGTGTTAAACATACAGTTCAAGGGTTTATTGAACACTCAACCACAGAAGGTGATTCGGTGCTTTTAAAATGCTAAGCTAACCTACATACGTAAATACATAGATACACAGATTTACGTATGTCCTACATAAAGTGTTAGATGTGTCTTTTACATAGTGTCATTAATGTACATTCACAAAGGTGAAATGTAATTCTGATCAGCTTCCATATATACTTTATACCCATACATATACATACACACACACACATACACATACATATATACACACACACATGCATTCACATACATTTGTCTCATTTACCCTGACAGGGTGAGGTAGCTGATAAAGAAACTAGTGCGCAATTAAGCACTTAATCACTGAAGGTGATGAAGGCTCTCCAAGGAGTGCCGGACCAACCGGGCTGTGGTGGGTATGTGGGCCTGCGGGCCGCTCCAAGCAACAGCCTGGTGGACCAAACTCTCACAAGTCAAGCCTGGCCTCGGGCCGGGCTTGGGGAGTAGAAGAACTCCCAGAACCCCATCAACCAGGTAATAAGGCTTAATCGAAATCCTCAGATTAGGCAAAATTGTAATTGATTTTGTCAATAAAGATGTTAATAATAATAATAACACGCTTCACAAGTACAACTGCTGAGGGCCTGATGCAGAACACCACCTCGTAAGAGTCAGTAAAGCTTCTGGCGAAGTGAACGACAGAGGTTGTGACTTCGAGATGTGTTGGTGGGACGACATATTTACTGACTGATAAATTTCCTACTCAAATTCGGCACATTTCTTTCTATTTAAGTATCAAATAAAGTACAGTGATTTAAAACATATCTGACAGTTTACATACAACATTTACGGATATTTTGCAACTCCAAAGGAAACACTGGCCTAAGATTGAATTAAATATATTTTTATTACCTGGTTGATACCTGGTTGATGGGGTTCTGGGAGTTCTTCTATTCCCCAAGCCCGGCCCGAGGCCAGGCTTGACTTGTAAGTTTGGTCCACGGCCCGCAGGCCCACCTACCCACCACAGCCCGGTTGGTCCGGCACTCCTTGGAAGAAACAATCTAGTTTCCTCTTGAAGATGTCCACGGTTGTTCCAACAATATTTCTTATGCTCGCTGGGAGGGTGTTGAACCGTGGACCTCTGATGTTTATACTGGTACAGTATATGGAATTAACTTTATAATTAAGCTAACAATGAAATATCAAGTTGCTCCTTGCAGATTCAGTATTTAAACTAATTTTCCATTGAAAACAGAGTTTAGGCTTCTCCAGGTGCAGATTCCATGCCAGTGCTACATATTCCAGCATTAATCAAATAATTAAGTGCAAATTTTGCAATTTTTGTTGGATTCGACTTTAAAAATAATCCATAATAATATGTCTTTTGCAACACATCTTTGTGAGGTATTATTTTCTCTATATACGGCAGCAAAAAAACTAAATCCAATATAGAAACAGGCTGAATGCATAAGACTCTGCACTTGCAATTAAATTACTCCAGATATTTATTAAACTAAGTAAGGAAAACAATTGTAACGAAGCATTTAACCATTAATTTTTTTTTAAATATTAATATTCTTCTATTTGTCGTATTTCAACAATTGTGAAAGTTAAAAAAAATAAATGATTACAAATAGCTTAGGGCTAGTGATCTGAATTTCCAATTTAGGTTTTCCATAAAGTTCATAAAATATGTAAATATAAACTACACTATCTATGAATTTCGTATTATTACCATCTGTCTTACAACCTTGAAGGATTCCGAGGCTTCAAAAATTTCGAAAACGTTTGGCCTAGACCAGCGATCCTGGCGATGGCTGATCGATAATGCTGATAGAAAACCCAAGTCGTGCCTTCTGATAGTCCTAGCTTCCTTGAGGGAGATATTTTCCTCATATACATATACTGTTTAGAAATGCAATACTGTACTGTATAGCAAAAATGATTGAACTGTGACGATGTGAAAGCATTCGGGATTTTACTCACAAAAAACGGTGATTCAAATAAGCTATAAATAGAAAATACCTAAAATCATGTTCATTAACTTGCACTATGTTGACCAAACCACACAACTAGAAAGAATTCTCATCGACTTGAGAACGGTGCAGAACGGACCGAAAACCCAATAAACTCGCCCCTCGCGGCAAAATTTAATCGGACCGAAACGTCGTCGTCCCTTCACTTTCTAGTGTGTGGTTTGGTCAACATATTTCAGCCACGTTATTGTGACTCCTCGTTTGCAACTTGCCCTATGCTTAATGAAGTGTCCATTGCCATTGACTATGAACCATTGATGTCTGGGGCTCATAACGTAATCATGATCTGAGTAAGATCAGTTAACTTCGGGGCTCAGTAATACTAAAGACGACTCAATGCGATCAATGTTACCTCTGTGGCTCACTCTAACACTAAAGATGATCTCAATGCAAAGTTGGTAATACGTTTTTTATTAGCATACTTATGTACCTGGTGATTTACACAGCTATTTGAAGCATTTATATAGATATTTGAAGTTATATAATCTGTATCAAGAGTGATACTAAGTGATACTAATGTACCTGATCATTTATACAGCTGCCCTAGACAATATGAAGGGTTACAGTGTGTCAAGAGCCAGCTGTGTGATACTAAGGTACCTGGACATTAATACAACTTCCCTAGACTATATGAAGGGTTACATGGTGTGTCAATACCTAGCTGTGTGATACTTCGGTACTTGGACATTTATACAGCTGCCCTAGACTATATGAAGGGTTACATAGTGTGAGTCAAGAGCTAGCTGTGTGATACTAAGGTACCTGGACATTAATACAACTTCCCTAGACTATATGAAGGGTTACATGGTGTGTCAATACCTAGCTGTGTGATACTTCGGTACTTGGACATTTATACAGCTGCCCTAGACTATATGAAGGGTTACATAGTGTGAGTCAAGAGCTAGCTGTGTGATACTAAGGTACCTGGACATTTATACAGCTACCCTAGACTATATGAAGGGTTACACAGTGTGTGTCAAGAGCCAGCTGTGTGATACTAAGGTACAGTACCTGGACATTTGTACAGCTTCCCTAGACTATACATGGTTGAGCCTGACCCCAGGCTGGGCTCGGGGAGTAGAATTCCCGAAACGCTCTCCGGGTATATGAAGGGTTACATAGTGTATGTCAAGAGCTAGGTGATTACTAAAAACTCTCGTGGTAATTTTCTGGTCTTTGCAGACACCATGATGGTAACCAAGAATTCCCACAACTCTTGCCTGCCTGCCTCTCTCTCTCTATACATACATATATACATACATATATATATATATATATATATATATATATATATATATATATATATATATATATATATATATACATATATATATAAAATTCTTCAACTGTAAAACCAACACTGAAAACTTAAAATACAGCTGGAGCAGATGACGGAAAACCCAGCAGATATATTTTTTACTCGGATTCTTATGTGGATATGTTTAATTCCCTTATGACGTATATGGACTGGAAGGAGGAAAAGGGAGGGAGGGGAGGAGGGGGGAAGGAGGTAGGAGGGAGGAGAAAGAAGGAGGATGGAAGGAAGGAAGGAGGGAGGATGGAGGGAGGAGGGAGGAGGAAGGAGGGAGGAAGAAGGAGGGAGGAGGAGGGTGGAAGGAGGGAGGAACAGGAGAAAGGAAGGAGGGAGGAACAGGAGAAAGGAAGGAGGGAGGAAGGGGAAGGAGTAATGAGGAATAGGAAGGAAGAGGAAGGAGGGAGGAGGAAGGTGAGAGGAGGAGGAAGAAGAGGAGGAGGAGGAAGGATAGAGGAAGAGGAGGGAGGGGTAGAGTGAAGGATAGAGGGAGGGAGGCAGAGTAAAAGATAGAGGGAGGGAGGATAGAGTGAGAAAATGGAAGGAGGGAGGAGAAAGAAGGAGGATGGAAGGAAGGAGAGAGGAGGGAGGAACAGGAGAAAGGAAAGAGGGAGGAAGGGGAAGGAGTAATGAGGAATAGGAAGGAGGGAGGAAGGAAGATGAAGGAGGGAGGAGGAAGGAGAGAGGAGGAGGAAGAAGAGGAGAAGGAGGAGGAAGAAGAGGAGAAGGAGGAGGAGGAAGGATAGAGGAAGAGGAGGAAGGATAGAGGAAGAGGAGGGAGGGGTAGAGTGAAGGATAGAGGGAGGGAGGCAGAGTAAAAGATAGAGGGAGGGAGGATAGAGTGAGAGATATAGGGAGAGGTAGGGTAGAGTGAGGGATAGAGGGAGGGAGGTAGAGTGAGGGAGTGCGAGTCAAAGAGACTGAAGTATAAGACACCACAGCAGGATGAGGGAGGACACAGGTGCCAGAGGTGCCACAGGTGGAGGCAGGACTCACCATCATGCCGACGAGAGGTGAAGGAGCAGCAGGAGGAGGTGCAGGAGGAGGAGGCTGTAGGTCCCGCAGGTCTGGTCGGCCACAAAACACTCCGGCCTCATCACTCCCCCTCTACCTCATCACACACTGATCACAACACACGCCACCACTAACAACCTCAGGGGTCACACACGCTCGTAAAGGTGGTCTTAAGAGCTCCCGGGAGAGTGTACTGTGAGGTTAGAGGAGGACCGTGGAGGTTAGGAAACACTTAGAGTACGCGCGGAGCACACAGACACACACCCGCCCTCCACCACGGACTGTACAACACTACCCGTCGTCGCCGCTCCCGGGATGCGCCACCACACCCGAGTTGGATCTCCAACCCCGCTGCCGGACCTATGATGCGCACACGCCCAAACGTCTATTTGTAGAACCTAAATAAAACTTTTACGAAAAATGGATACTAATAGAAATTTTGTGCGTTGTTCCGCGGGCCAAGACTTGGCTAGAGAAGACAGTGGCATGACAGTACTAGACGAGGGTTGATGGACACTGTACTCACACGACCAACACCTGAGCCGGCACGTGACAATGCTCACCTACTTGTACTCACCTAGTTGAGCGTGCAGGATCGAGCCTCTGCTCTTAAGCCCCGCCTTTCGACCATCATTAGTTCAATGCAGTGACTCATTTCACTCGTTTTTCTTATCACATTTACATTTAAAGTGTATCAAACTGGCTTCGACAACTTGCTCATCTAGTCTGTTCCTCTTATTTACGACTGAGAATGAAAAAGGTTCTTTCTGACATTTCTTTGACTCATCTGTGTTTTCAGTTCCAGTTATGTCTTTTCTTTATACTGTTCTTTAATTGAACATTGTTTACATCTATTTTGTCAATCCCCTTAGTATCGTCCACGTCGTTATCATGTCTGCCTTATTCCTTCTTTCCTCCAGTGTAGTGAGATTCCCTCAGTCTGTCTTCACACCTCAGTCCCCTTAGCTCAGGAATCACCTTTGTTGCATATTTTTGGACCCTATCTCCTTTTTTTGTACTTCTTTATGTAGGGGTTCCACGCTAGGGCAGCATACTCAATAACAGACCTCTCAACGGATGTACACAGCACTAGAATGGGATTTTTGTCCAAGTTCCTGTACGATAATGGAACATTTGCTAGTATGGCGTATGCTGCCTTCATAATTCTGCCGATCAGAAAGAACTTTTTCCGTCTCAGAGTCGTAAATAACAGGAACGGACTAGACGAAGATGTCGAACTCAATTCTATAGACAACTTTAAATGTAAATATGATAAGAAAAACAAGTGAAAAGAGCCACTGAACTGACCTAATGCTGTTCCAAAGGTGGGGCATACGAGCCCCGCCTTTTTTATGCTTTACGAGTTGCGACTTCCAGGCCGGTGCTACTTGCTCAATCCTGCAAGTCCAACGTGAGTACAAATAGTTCAACCCGTTCTCGCACTTGCGTATAGTCAATATTGGCTTATTTAATAAGTGCATATGTGACAGACTAATTGATTGTGAATATTTTAGTTTACCTTGAAAAGCTTCATAGAAGACACCGACCTCACCTAACCTTCTTAGTATGTTAAGATAAACTTATTATTGCTTCTTATTTACAATTATTACTTAACCTATCAACGATATAGGTTAAGTATTAATTGTAATTAAGAAGCAATAATATGCTTATCTTAACATACTAAGAAGGTTAGGTGAGGTCGGTGTTTCCTATGAAGCTTTTCAAGGTAAACTAAAATATTCACAATCAATTAGTATGTCACATATGCACTTATTAAATAAGCCAATATTGACTATACGCAAGTGCGAGAACGGGTTGAATAGTTTGGTATCTCGTGTGAGCACCTTGAGGCAGGGAGGGAGTGTCTTGGAGCCCATCAGTGCCAGGAAGAAGACACACGGTGTCAAGGTTGCCCATTAGCAAGGCACCAGGCCAACACCAGTGCCAATGCCATATCATCAAATCATTAATAACTCCGCCCCCAACGCCCCCCCATCCAGGCCAAGCCGTCATCAACTACCCCCCCCCCCCCCCCACAACCCCCTCCACGACCTCCACAACACGAACGGAGGAAATCACTCCCCCTCCCCCTACACCCTCCCTCTCATTGACGCGGCCATCACCAGCTTACGGGTTAACAGTTAATTGAATAATCTGTGCCTGGTCTATTACAAGTCCAAACCAACCATTCTTGCCTCTCATACTGGTCCTAACTAACCCTTCTTGCCCTTATACTGGTCCTAACTAACCCTTCTTGTCCTTATATTGGTGCTAACTAACCCTTCTTGCCCTTATATTGGTCCTAACTAACTCTTCTTGTCTTTAGACAGATCCTAACTAACCCTTCTTGCCCTTATATTGGTCGTAACAACCCTTCTTGTCCTTATATTGGTTCTAACTAACCCTTCTTGTCCTTATACTTGTCCTAACTAACCCTTCTTGCCCTTATACTGGTCCTAACTAACCCTTCTTGCCCTTATACTGGTCCTAACCAACCCTTCTTGCCCTTATACTGGTCCTACCCAACCCTTCTTGCCCTTATACTGGTCCTAACCAACCCTTCTTGCCCTTATACTGGTCCTACCCAACCCTTCTTGCCCTTATACTGGTCCTAACCAACCCTTCTTGTCCTTATACTGGTCCTAACCAACCCTTCTTGCCCTTATACTGGTCCTAACCAACCCTTCTTGCCCTTAAACTGGTCCTAACTAACCCTTCTTGTCCTTATACTGGTCCTAACCAACCCTTCTTGCCCTTATACTGGTCCTAACTAACCCTTCTTGTCCTTATACTGGTCCTAACCAACCCTTCTTGCCCTTATACTGGTCCTACCCAACCCTTCTTGCCCTTATACTGGTCCTAACCAACCCTTCTTGCCCCTCATACTGGTCCTAACTAACCCTACTTTCCCTTATACTGGTCCTAACTAACCTTTCTTGCCCTTATACTGGTCCTAACTAACCCTTCTTGCCCTTATACTGGTCCTAACTAACCCTTCTTGTCCTTATACTGGTCCTAACTAACCCTTCTTGCCCTTATACTGGTCCTAACTAACCTTTCTTGCCCTTATACTGGTCTTAACCAACTCTTCTTGCCCTTATACTGGTCGCAACTAACCCTTCTTGCCCTTATACTGGTTCTAACTAACCCGTCTTGCCCTTATATTGGTCCTACCTAACCCTTCTTACCCTTATACTGGTCCTAACTAACCCTTCTTGCCCTTATACTGGTCCTAACCAACCCTTCTTGCCCTTATACTGGTCCTACCCAACCCTTCTTGCCCTTATACTGGTCCTAACCAACCCTTCTTGCCCTTATACTGGTCCTACCCAACCCTTCTTGCCCTTATACTGGTCCTAACCAACCCTTCTTGTCCTTATATTGGTCCTACCCAACCCTTCTTGCCCTTATACTGGTCCTACCCAACCCTTCTTGCCCTTATACTGGTCCTAACTAACCCTTCTTGTCCTTATACTGGTCCTAACCAACCCTTCTTGCCCTTATACTGGTCCTAACTAACCCTTCTTGTCCTTATACTGGTCCTAACCAACCCTTCTTGCCCTTATACTGGTCCTACCCAACCCTTCTTGCCCTTATACTGGTCCTAACCAACCCTTCTTGCCCCTCATACTGGTCCTAACTAACCCTACTTTCCCTTATACTGGTCCTAACTAACCTTTCTTGCCCTTATACTGGTCCTAACTTACCCTTCTTGCCCTCATACTGGTCCTAACTAACCCTTCTTGTCCTTATACTGGTCCTAACTAACCCTTCTTGCCCTTATACTGGTCCTAACTAACCTTTCTTGCCCTTATACTGGTCCTAACCAACCCTTCTTGCCCTTATACGAGTCCTAACCTTTCTTGCCCTTATACTGGTCTTAACCAACTCTTCTTGCCCTTATACTGGTCCTAACCAAATCTTCTTGTCCTTATACTGGTCCTAACTAGCCCTTCTTGTCCTTATACTGGTCCTAACTAACTCTTCTTGCCCTTATGATTGTCCTAACTAACCCTTCTTGCCCTTATACTGGTCCGAACTAACCCTTCTTACCCTTATACTGGTCCTACCCAACCCTTCTTGCCCTTATACTGGTCCTAACCAACCCTTCTTGTCCTTATACTGGTCCTAACCAACCCTTCTTGTCCTTATACCGGTCCTAACTAACCCTACTTGCCCTTATACTGGTCCTAACCAACCCTTCTTACCCTTATTCTGGTCCTAACTAACCCTTCTTGTCCTTATACTGGTCCTAACTAACCCTTCTTGTCCTTATACTGGTCCTAACTAACCTTTCTTGTCCTTATACTGGTCCTAACTAACCCTTCTTGCCCTTATACTGGTCCTAACTAACCTTTCTGGGTTATACTACTCCTAACTAACCCTTCTTGTCCTTACACTGGTCCTAACTAACCCTTCTTGTCCTTATACTGGTCCTAACTAACCCTTCTTGTCCTTATACTGGTCCTAACCAACCCTTCTTGTCCTTATACTGGTCTCAACCAACTCTTCTTGCCCTTATACTGGTCGCAACTAACCCTTCTTGCCCTTATACTGGTCCTAACCAAATCTTCTTGTCCTTATACTGGTCCTAACTAACCCTTCTTGTCCTTATACTGGTCCTAACTAACTCTTCTTGCCCTTATACTGGTCCTAACTAACCCTTCTTGTCCTTATACTGGTCCTAACTAACCCTTCTTGTCCTTATACTGGTCCTAACTAACCCCTCTTGTCCTTATACTGGTCCTAACTAACCCTTCTTGTCCTTATACTGGTCCTAACTAACCCTTCTTGTCCTTATACTGGTCCTAACTAACCCTTCTTGTCCTTATACTGGTCCTAACTAACCTTTCTTGTCCTTATACTGGTCCTAACTAACCCTTCTTGTCCTTATACTGGTCCTAACTAACCTTTCTTGTCCTTATACTGGTTCTAACTAACCCTTCTTGTCCTTATACTGATCCTAACTAACCCTTCTTGTCCTTATATTGGTTCTAACTAGCCCTTCTTATCCTTATACTGGTCCTAACTAACCCTTCTTATCCTTATACTGGTCCTAACTAACCCTTCTTGTCCTTATACTGGTCCTATCCCTTCTTGTCCTTATACTGGTCCTAACTAACCCTTCTTGCCCTTATACTGGTCCTAACTAACCCTTCTTGCCCTTATACTGGTCCTAACCAACCGTCTTGGCTCTGTACTGAATGAGGGACCTACCAACACCTGACGTCATTTTGGCCTAAGTCCTGTAACATACTGTCCCAAACAGCATTTGTGACATACTGGCGTAACTA